TTTCAGTGTAATCAACTAAAATTGCCATTTATTCATTGACCCGCCATAATATTATTTTTCGTCTTCCCAATCCTTATTTAGCGGTTATACACGACCTGTCGTAAATTCAGCATTGTTTTCATGTGGTTTCACAATATAGATTCCCACGTCTGGCCGCTGCAGGGAAAGGGCGTACTCGCATTTCACACTAGTTATCAATTTGTATGCGAAAATTTCTGTTTCATTCATGTGTAGGTATGCACCTGCACATTATGATATAATTACCATAGACGTGTTCTGGTAAGTGTTTAGAAAGCAAGAAATGCTTTCCCCTCGGCATGTTCTTTATTCATGCCGACTTTCGTTGCCGGTTTGTTTGCTTGTGATAGCACCTTGTACTCCTTTAACGGCAATGGATGTTCTGCACTTTTGCCATCATCCGTTATTGGTCGTCTGCAATGCGACATCTACGACAGGCTAGTCTGCATGTCAGCCACTATAGACTGGCTTATTCATTTACATACAGCAAAGCAGGGCGCCGGCTTCACTATTGGCTCAGGGATCATCCTCCCCTGCCTCTCTCTCTCTCTCTCGTTTAGTCGACCGCGGTAAGCAAAACACCACTAGCAGCACTGCTTACGCCAACTGTACGAACGACACCAGCAAGCAATACCGCCCCATGGCGAGTCGCCGCTCCGTAGCTGTCTCTTGGGACGGCAAAAAAGACCATCGTCGATACGTCGTTGTGCCTTCGCGCGGCTGTGACCTCCGACCTTCGATCGGCTGCTCAGTTGCTGATGCTGGCGCTACCGCGCTGGTGCTGCCGCGCTGGTGCTGCCGCCGCTGCTACTACCCGCTTCAAGTGACGCCTCATTCGTTCTACACAGAATGAGCGGCCGAAGCAAAAGCATAAGTGCAACCGGAAAGAGCGAAAAAGAAGGTCCGTAGCTATGACGAGAACGGTGACCATGCTGGCGAGAAAACAACGAGCAGAATGTAGCCGAAACGCAACAGCACCGCAGCAGAATCCACAAAATCCATGATGGCGGCGGCAGCTGGTCCTGCTGCGACAGAGCTGACACTGAACTAAATTGAAAGACAGAACAGAAACAAGCGGCTGAACGTATCTGTGCCAGGCGGTCAGCGATCGCCGTTCGCTCATGGCAAAATCCACAAAAACACTAACAACAATAACGATACCGACGACAGTCATATTATCTGCGGCCCGAGATCTAACCCTCTATGGTACATCCGACGTTTTAACAAAAAATGCCTGCGAGCGTATATATATATATATATATATATATATATACGCTCAGGTAACATATAACGCTCAAGAAAAGGGTAGTATTAGAATTTGTATTGAAAAACTTCGATAGTACGATAATAGTCATCATAGCCACATAACATTAGAAATTATTATGCCCATGCATAGCAGTATCTCTATGATCATATTTATATCGACACTATACAGTGTAAGTCTGTTAACTGTACAATCCATCAACCAGTAGAGCTGTCTGAGCCCGCCAGACTACGGAGCGACAATGGTCAGCAGGTGCAGAGGAGAACTTTCCCGAACAAGTGGTAAATTTTCTTTTATTGAAGGATTATCCAGATCAGAGCGCCTCAAATCATTATACGAGATATAGCCGGACAATTTTCGGTCAAAACCGATAAGTAAGTAACATTGTATTCAATGCATCTGTTGCTGAGATCAATCATACTATCGCAAGATACTGTGATCACATACATTTATTTTTCGTTCGGTTCGTGCGATCAGTAATATTAAAACTACTGGCAACTATTCTTCAAAAATACTCAAAAACAAAATCTCCTCAATCACCTAATTATTAATACCTCACTAAGCGTATACGCATCAAAGCGAACATGACAAATAAATTATTATTATTTTTTTTAAATCTGTGAACGTGTTTAAGAAGTTGTTTGGCTGTTGTTATTATAATAATCTCTGAAAACAACGATGTGACATGAGCCATACATCGAAAGATTAAGCGTGTCTAAGCCTAATAAATATTACAAAAAACACTAAACATGCAGTGTTTCGATAATGGCAAATTTGATTTTTCGGTGTACCGTAACGTCTGCTTCTACGGCAGCTCCAGAGACTCACGCACAAGCGCATACGAGTGACATTTAAAAGTTATGACTACAGATAGGAGCTATCTAGCCATCATGCAGCTGGCGCTTCGCGTCAAAGACCCTCTTGAGTTCTTAAGTATCTGTTATATATGTATTGTATTATTATCGTCTAAAAATCTATTGTATTATTATCGTCTGCTAAAAGCTTTCCCACTTACCAAATACCTCTGTACATCTCGCGTGCCAGAAATACACTCATAGATAATATCAATACATTATAAATGCATACATGTATAAATAAATATGTCTAGGCGTACGCTGTACACACGCATCGTTTCAATTACCTGTGCAACCCGTGTAGGTTAGATACCTATTTATCTCCGCCAGGTCCAACACCGGACTATCGAATGGGGAGCGACAGGAACTCATTAAAATACCGATGTTGAACGAGTCCCTGTTGGGGCATTTTGTTAGATTGTTTGACGTATCATGATAACTCGGAACATATATAGATCATTCCAGATCAATAAGGACCTGCACGGAAACCCCCCATATGTTTCTCTTATGGAATATATCGAATTCGAAAAAAAGTTCTTTTTACTTAAGCGTGAGAAATTGCTATAGGTCGGCCAACTTTCGTACTAGTTCGTCGTCGGTTAATTTACAGGTATTAACTACTGTTTCACGCTCTTCGAACGCTGATGTTTTGTTACCTGACTACCCTGAGATCCTGTAAAGAACAATTACAACTCCTTTTCTAGCTAATTATGACTGTAATTATCCAGTACAAGTCAGTGTTTCAAATTTAGTTATATGATAAATATCCATGTACGTTCATGCGCAGTTACTTAATTGATTCGTTTTTATAAAATTGGTTATTTAACATCTTTTTTGAAGTTGTGATATGTGGTGGACGATACGAAAAGTTTCGATTAGCCAGTATTTTTTTTAAATGTATGAGACCGGCATTGTAACCGGCATTGACTCGCCAATCAGTTAACTGAGCCTTTTTTTTTTCCTGTTAAAGTGATTGCCTGACACTGAGTTCCTGATGAACGAGCCATTCAGCTATAGCTGCATGGCTTGTTCAGGTCGCTTGGCTGCCATGTGGGGTCGCGGAGGACTGCCATCTCTGTCTATTCGAAGGTTAACTTTCTGTCGCCCCGTGTAGCGTTGTCTGATCGTTGAAAAGCATTAACGGCTTTCCGAGAGATGCATATTTAGAGTATTATGAGTGGGGCTGGCGTTAGCTAGAACTTGGCCGCATTCTAAAGCTGTTGCAGTGTTTTTCTTTAGATTCAAAATCGAGCGCTCTATAGATGAGTGAAATTTGATGTAAAAATTTGCTTCGCTTCATAATTTTATTACGAACACAAATGCTATCTAAGCTCGTAGGAATCGTTGCCGTTTATCGTCAAGATGCATTATTATAAGAGACGGCCCAAAAGAAAATCATTGCGTTTCTTTTGTTCGAAAAATTTTAATGTGTAGGGTTCTCATAATGGTCGACCGTTTACAGGAAAAGCTCAACTATTGTAAAAGTTGAGGCAGACTAACACGTGAGTAGCCGTTATATAGCTAAGCCCGTGGATATCCACCATTAAACAACGTTAAACCATTCAAGGAGAGCTGGCTAGAAAAGACATCTATCTCGGTGTTCGAGTACCATCACGAACGGAGGCAAGAGAATCTGCTCGATCGTATTTTCAAATTGCAAAAATGCAGTAAAACCGAGCCACTTAATCTAAAACGATTGAGTATGGGCCATGAAAAATGGTCGAATACGACAAGAGTACGCAAATTAATAATAATATAATCTGTAACAGATAGTAAGATGTAGTAACAGATGTAAAGATAATCTGTAACAAAGTCTAAATCGAGGCTGAAGAAGTTGATGCTGGTGTTTGGTTGAATCGAGAAGACATCGTATATAACGAGCTGCTTTAATTTCTACCCTACCTAGCCAACGGACCTACAACAGGTCGTTCCAGTGAGGGGACAAACCAACGCTAGACCACAAACATCTTTAGTTGCTCGGCAACAACTGGAGGAAGTTAGGTGGGAAGTTTTAATGTATCCGTCGTATAGCCCAGATCTTGTATCATGTGACGATCACCTACTCTAGTCGCTATAGAACTCAATAAGGAACTAAAGAAATTACTTGTGACAATTTTTCGCCCAGAAACCATAGACGTTTGACAATCATTGACGGGAAAAATAGAAAATCATCGATCAAAATGGCGTTTATTTAGTTTAGTCACATATGAAAATCTGAAAATGTTTCCTTTCGTCTTTCTTCGTCTTTTTTTGGGTCTATCCTTTTTCGGCAGCCAAATATATCTTGTTTTCTTGCAAGCTCGGCAAGAAGAGCTCCTTCTCATGAGTCGATTTCGCCGAGATGTTCGCTGATTTCAGCGAATGAAGCTGACCAGTGTTATTTCAGTCTTTCGTTGTATCAGTCCTAAAATCAGGCGCTGAAGCATGCAGAGGACAGGCGCGTTTTTAGTAAACGCGTGAGGAGTGAAGGAAATTCTTGGCTGTCTTCGTAGCATTTGTCAGCGATGCCAATGAAAGCTACTTCACAATATTCCAGCCTTACGAGCATGGTCGCCTACAGTTTCGTAACTTTTATCCTCGCGGCAAATTACTGTTAATGAAGAAACTAGTTGAGAGAGATATAACTGCCCGACAGGCCAACCGTCATCTGCGATAGTCTTCGTAGCGTCTCGTTTCCTGTGAATCAAATTTTCGGCAGCAGCAGCTCCCAAGAGAACGAGATTATCGTTAGGCAAACTGCTATGTCCATTTAGATTACACATTTAGAGGATTGGAAGGCCGAGCAAGCTACCGACAGAAACCCCGACTAGATGAAACCACATTCATATCCGTTCGAAAACGAAGTACTTACTATTTTCTGATAGTAAAGTTTACGTCAGAGCTTTTGCTCATAGTAAGGCTAAAAGAATTTGCGCATTATCTCGGAAGGTTCCCGTCATTATGGCACAACGAAGAAAATTTTAGATGTGCTAGATTTTTAGGTGGCGCCTGAAAATCATTGAGAGCCACTGATGATTCGCTATGTAACGCAGGTAAACGGTAGACAGACATAAACAAAACATAGACAGTTGGAGGTGTCAACTTAATGTGAATCCGAAATGAATGACTTAAAACATAGATTTCGTTGTAAAGACCCTGCAAGTGTGCGCGATGGTGCGTTGACCATATGCGGTATCACGAATGAAAAAGCAGTCTGAAGTTCATCAAAGGTATCAGTTAATATCATAGGGTTCTGCATATCCCAAATGTACATGAACGTATACGAAATCAGGAGGCCTGGATATATATATATATATAGGACTAGGCCATTGGCTAATTATATTGGGCAGCGGCTGTTATACGTTGTTTGAACTAGCAGCTGTTGTTTACATTTCGACTGTGAGATTCAGTCATTGCTACCAGCCAGACTGCATCCAGGCAGCATTCGCGCACCTATCGTGCGGCTGAGTTTGTGCAATCTGGTGCATAAATTGTCTTGCGTACTTGACGCAACTACTCCCACCTGACTGCGCACAGTCCAGGATTTCCCAATGGTCTAGGCCCTCTTGTGCTTCTATCTACTGTTGTAGAACGTACCCGACGTTTTTTCGTGGTGACAGTCTGAATCAGGTAATTTTGTCTGCCACTTGCTGTTCGTGCGACGTACGTCTGATCTCCTTTGTCGGTGAAAACTTCTTCTGCTGACACTTGTCTTTGACCGCCAAGGCCCTTTTGTATCCTTTACTTTGACGCCAGCGAACATGTGGAGCATCACCTAACCACTGTCCGTAGCGCCTGCCTACGGCGATCCGGCCCCCAGTTGGTATTACCAACTTGTGGACGATTCGGCCATTAGTCAGAGACTGACAGGTCATTGGTTAGGACTTTTATATTTAACCATGTTCGAACTAGCAGATATTTATTGAATATATTCTGATTATAACACTCTGTGTATGTATCACTTAAGTAAGAACTAAAATAGCACTCTAAGCAGAATAACATCCGCTTTGTAGTCTTCGTTCCCTGTGGAACCCGAGCTCTGAAGCTCGCCAAAAGCCCGTCCGCGAGGAGCAAAGTGGAACTTGCTTGCGGATAATTCAATACTCGGAAGTATTAAAGTTTAATCAAGGTTACTCTTAAGTGTTACTAATCAGTTATGATGTTTAGCAAAACGCGGTCAGCAGCCCACTGATCAAGTTTTGATTTGCTTGATAAACTTGCCGGTACTATGGGTCAACCTATAAAATATATTGGCACTGTTTTTACAGTGCCGGCAGCGGGGCATTACTTACTTTTGACGTTGAACTTCTCAGCTGTTTCTCTCTCATTAACATCAGCTTAGCGTGGCGGCTTGCCGATTTCTCGCAAGCACCCTATTCGGACACAAGGTCCAGTCTTTGTAATGGCTGACCGCTTCATGTGTCCCGATGAAGATAAACAGCATCGAGTGTCCAGATGCATCCGTGTAAGTGGAATTGGGCTGATACAGGCAGCTGCATTATAATTACCTTGCACAATAATCATTGTAGCAGCAAAAAGTACTTCAATAGCTCACCGTTTTTATTTGACGGGCTCGTGTTTAGGTAGGGCGAAATAGTTTAATGGTAATACTAATATTATTATTATAGTTATCCCTTAAGCTCAGAATTAATAGACCTTCACTCTGCTAATTAACGGATTCCAGTGCAATGCGAGCGGTAAGAAAAGGGGAGATTCATTAGATAGGTAATCGTCTGTGTATACGTATTTGTGTACTAATTTTAATGATACGTTGTGGTCTAGATTCAAACTCAGGCATTGACACACTCGGTTCAGGCTGGGATTGCGTCCAATGGAACGCTTTATACCGGCTTTAAAATTTGAAACACAGAGATATTTCGGTGATGTGGCTACAGTGCTCCTTTCTCAGAAGGCACTCGACCATTGAGGGTGCTTTGCTGGGCGGTAGTTCTGTTTAAACTTGATAACCCACTAGGGGGCCTGGGTGGTACCCAACACTAGGACGCCATCGGAAAAATACATTGGCACAAAAAGACACAATCATGGATTGTTACCGAGATTCTAATAGGCTGTTACGAGTTTCTAGTTAGGCGACAGGAGCAGTTAAATAAATAGGCTGACAATTATAAAATATTCGTACAAGGCTTTCTCGCGTAATCATTAGCAGCTTCTATTTCTTTCGCCGCCATAAATGAAAAATTTTTTAAAGACTTATGCTGATATAATTATTTTAATAAAGAAATGTTTTCTATTATAGGAGAATTTCATAAAGCGTCTCTGCACTGTAATCTCTTGAAAATGTTAGGGGTAATTATGTCTATATCCCAAAATGTTTCCAACTAGAGCCCCGCAGAGGTTATTTACATGACTACTCCTTAATATGATAGTTTTTTTGCTGCATAGATTATATTCAAATAAGCTAGTAAGCTGAATGATTGTGACTTTGGACTCCATTTAACAGATTACATCCACTGTACACTTTCTATTTATTTGTGCAGTAAGTCTGCGCATAATTTAGAAACATTCATTGCTCAATTAGAAATTGCTTGTGATGCTCTGTCCGTTACTTTGCACAAGCGTCTTTTGCTTCATAGTGTTCTATTTTCATATATAGTCTGTGATAAAGCTCATATTACGCACACGGCAAATCGTCCGTCCACCATTTTCCAGCAGTTACATTTTGTATTATGATCTATGTGCATAATAGTGTTCTCCTTTTCCCCTTTGCTACCTGTTTTCATAGGCTACCCTTGATCCAGGCCGGTCGATAAAACCGATCGGACAAGCCTAAATGCTTTTTTATTGAGACATAGTTTCTGACCGCATCAAGTGCTTCCATTTTCTTTTGGGTCGATTGATGTAATCATTATTTTTGGTTCTAACCACCTGAGCGCTCCTCGAATTCATCGTTTGTAAAGATCCGTTAGGCTTACGGTGATTACCGCCGCATATACTCGGATGACGTAATTACTTAAGACTAGTCACGGTGTCTCCCTATATTTGAATTAGCTAATACATTCCGACAGTGTTACACTAGAGAACGGGTTGGTTAAGACCATTGGACCATTTACAAAAAATTTCAAAGCCTCTGTTACCGCCATGTTCTTATGGGGATCTCATATCCGCCGCCGCCTAAAGACCTGTCGCAAAGTCTGCGTCTTGCGCCTACGCACAAGAGAGAGCACTTTCACCTCCAGACGGGTCTTTTCATTAATAGAAAATACAGAAGAAGAAATAGTTTTTTTTAATTGAAATCCGTTTTATTGTGTTTTTAGAGGCGATCACCACAGATTGTTATGGGTCATAATATAATTTGCCCCTAGTTTCGTTAGGGAGGTTTACGGTTTTAGAAATAGGCCTTAATCACAAGCTTCTTCAGACTTGCGGACAGAAATGCCAGTCCTGATTTAATGGACCTTTTAGGTTTTCTCCATAACATTTGCTAGATGCGAAACCCTACGATCAAGCAATCATACCTAAGTTCGTACTCATTGCCAATTTTGATTCATGTATTGTTTTCCTAAGTAAGATTGAGTGTTTTTTTTCTGCTACTGGATTAATAAAATTGAACAGTCCGGCGTTATGTTTGCTGTTGTGGTGTTATACTCGCCAAGCTTGGCATTGGCAAAACATTGGGTAATGCTTGCGGAGTGAGCCATCTCACGGCTTTTCCACTGGTCGTAATGGCGTTGTTAGGTCCAAGGCTTGGTGAGCTAGTGGCGATACATCTAATTATTATCTTACTAAAAGACTCGATATAGCGCTCTTCGCCTCAAGCTTGATCACAAAAACGGCGGACCAGATAAGGAAACAAACAATTCTCAATAAGCTAGCAACTTGGCCATTTTTTATTTAGCCCCTGCCCACTAAAGGTTTGACCTTGTTAGTACTCGATGAGCCGCATGACCGTCCTTTCGACTCCAGCCTTTTATGCATGAGAATGTCAGCATATATGTCAGTACCTCGTGTTTGCATCAAAAGTGTTAATGCCATTCTGATTGAAAGCTAAACTAAAAGTCGAGTTTCCTTTTAACAAGCTCAAATTCTAACCGACCGTATACAACTTCATTAACGCCGCTATTTCATGAGTGCCATTTCTCTAGTAGATAAAGTCATGGAAAGCAAAAGACGCAGCTTGGACTGCGTGTCAAGGGCATTAGTGAACTCTCAGATCTCTACCTGTAGCCGTGAACTCTATGTCTATCTAACATCGTGTTCAGCTAGTGAAAGCAATGGCTGAGGCCGTCTTCCTGTTATAAAATGGAAAGCTGCTCCGAAACAGTCTAATTCTGCCTTCGTATAGGCCTTCCAAAAATCGTCTTCGCATCGCTTCGTTTCTTACTGTTATCTCAACACAAGATCGCTGACTCCAATATCAGTAGATCTTGTCGCCACTTTACCCTAAGACGCTCCGGAGTGCTTCTTGGCTCTGTCCTTGCTGTCTCGCTGACTTCTGGCTTAAGAATTTATGTAGCCAACTGTTTCACCTAACGCAGCTTGACGGGGCACGCTAGGCGGTATTTTAGACGCCAAATACACTTTCTCTAGTGAGAAGTGTGAACTGGGTCCGAACATTCCAAAAGCCTAAATTTCATCGAGAGGTTCTTATGTTTACCTACAATTTTTTCAATATGCTGAATTATAAGCGGTCGAGATCAGGTGCTCCTTTGTCAAAGGAAGAATTACTATCGCGTCGACAGTGCGAAATTTTGAGATTACCTCTTTGCTTGAAGTTCTTACGAAGCTCATGGAATAGATTAAAAGGGATCACCCATGTATCACGCAACTGGCATAAGAACTAATGGCAAGAACGTTAGCCACAATCACAGAAAGTGCGCGTTATTTTTATTTAAATTCAGTGATCTCATACGGATAATTCTACTAGGTCCTAAAACTACAGTCGGAATTGCGTTTCTAGTTGTCATATCAATGCCTTCGTGCTGGATTTTCGTGATGCCATAATGAACCCAGCCTTGAGAACTGCTTGTTGCTAATATAATATGTGAAACCAGACGGCTTTGCGAGCGATGGCACTACCTGCCGAAAGAGTACCTGCAAACGTTTGACTTGTTGGTTGCGGATCTTAACCCGTGCAGTAGAGGTTCTGTAAAGAAAGAGTCAAAAGGTGGGTTTTTGCGAAGTAATGCCTGCTTCATGTGGCAGCGACACAAATGAGTGCTGTGGGAGTAAGTTTTTATCTTGTTCATCAGCCATTAGGTAGGTGCATGAAGGCGAAGTCTAAATCGGCTTGATAATGCGACAGGTTATGTCTAGTAGATTACTTCTTTATTACAGAAAATAACTTCTTTATGCTTTTTTTTTTTTTCTATAAAGTTACTGAACAAGATTTGCACTACATCGTTCCGTCTTTCTCCGTGCTGTATTGGTAAAATTTCAATAGAGTCTCCGGACCTGTGAACATGACTTTACCACTCCGGGACGATATAAAGTGGAACCTAAGATATGGAGACATGATTAGAAAGAAAAGCAAAAAAGGCATCTATCCACACTATCTTGTAGGGGGCGCACCGGAGATCCTTCGCTAGCTAAGTAAGTATAGTACACACGTTGCTATACGTGTCCAGCCCATTGAAAGGCAATAAAGTGGCATCGAATGTATGCGTCTGTATATGTGCTCCTCGATGTTATGCGTCGAACATTTGCCTCTAAATTTTGTTAAAGAAATTATTCTTTGATTAAATGCTAAACATTTAAAGTGAATCGCTCAAATAGTGAGTTTGCCTTATTTTAAAATTTGGATTTTTCGGATTTTTCGAAGTTCTGTTTTTTAATTATTAGAGTGTCGGATCGAGCTTCCAACACGTTGACCTCCAAGCTTAAGCTTGAAAAGCGACATACTTTATGCGATGGTGTCAAATCGTTTTGAACTACAGGATATCTATATATTGACTCTGAAAAAATAGCCGTATTCTAGACTATAAAACATCTGCCTTTTTGAAGGAGTAACATTTACTGCTTATATTTGGTCAATAGCAATATTGCCTAACACGATACTCTTTGAACATCTCTCATTCAGCGTACAGTTGTATTTCAAATCAATACTGAGTATTGTTTTAAACTTAATAATAAATGGTAGAGAATTGGTAGGTAGTTACATATAATATGTCAATAAAAAGAATAGTATTATTAGTTTTCTAGAAAGCTAGTAAGCAAACGCTTAAATTTTTCTTTCTTGGCGGACGCGGAAATAAGAAAAGGCCTGAGAAAAAAACTTGACAGCTACATCAAGAGAAAGAGATTGATCCTAAAAAGGCCGGAAACACACTAATAATTTATACTAAGCAGAAATCATCTAAAGAGAACTCGGATTGAGTCATAACATGAATGTATACCGAAAAACTTAGCTAAGCTGAAATGCTCGTGCATTGCGAGGCTTGGATAGCAAGCTCTTGCTTATTTCCATAGTCAACACATTAACCAACGACTCCTCTGCAAAGCTTTGACGCACAGAAAACAGCGCTCAAAAACAACTTTAGACAAACGTTTTTTAAATCTTTACCAAGAGGTATCGTTATTGCAAAAACAATGACCTCTACACTGGTTCCTAATCTTAAATTGATCCGGTTTATATCCTAGCATACTCCCAATGTAGGCCATCTTAGCAAACATTTTTCTCAGTGAGAATATGGGTAGAAGACGTGCTACATAGGAACTCGACGGCTCAACAAATCTGCTTAAAACTGCTAATCAGCCCACGAAATTCCCTAAACCTAAGTAAAACGATATAAAGATGTAGCAACGTTTAAATAATTAATTTTAATTTTAGTTGCGATGTATTGATTTTGATTTTTATATTAACAAATCGGCTGAGGCCCGTAAAGAAGATTTAGGCTCTTAGGCTCCTGATCAAGTTTTGATCACAAAAATACAGTCACTTAGTCGACCACTAAGCGACACTTTCAATCGACCAGCAGCTGATGCTACATCTGTAAATTCTCACAAGCTAATAGCTCATTATTTGCCCCGTAGGCTTCTTATAGCTTTTTGATTGTTGTTGTTTACGTTGTATGTACGCTTTTTTCAACTGGATAAATCCTCTGTTAGGGAGGAGTCAAAAACATGGGTCGCTTGCGGCACCAATCTTACTCTTGATTTTCAGACTCCTGAGAAGTGTAGTAAATCAACCTAACGAGATAGGATGTTGATACTATGATCAATCTCAGTCATGCTTGCTTCACGAGGCCTGCAAGGGCAAGCCGTCCTCCTCGAAAAGACCGAAAGCTTAACGTAAACCCGGGGAGAATTCGTCAAATGCTTTCGTATCCTGTTGTGCGGAATCGCAGAAAGATATATACAAGATAACATAACTGTTCCAGCTAAAAACATACTTCTGTCTAAAAATAGTAATCTAGTTGGAAAATCAATGTATGTACGTATATAACAGAAAAATATAAGCGTAATCTTTACATAGTTAAGTGCACATGAGATGTGATGAAAAAACGAGGCCGAAAGATACTCTGGAAGCAAGAAGGTAAATGTTCAACGTTTCCAACAAATTCGTCGAATAGATAAAAGCACGATTTGCGCTACGTTTAAAGTTATAGGAGGACCAGGAGCAGTTTTGGCCAGAAATATGTTTCAGCAATAATCACTCTCCAAGACAATCCGAGACATTTGAGATGCTTTTTTCTCCATTGTACAGCTCCCCTTTAAAGTAGGAAGTTGGTCCTTGATATGACAACACTGGTTTCGAGATGCTATTGTGAGGGCATTTTGAATTATATGTCGAGTGGCATCAGCAGAAGTTAAGCAATGCGGGACTGGCGATTACAGGTGTCCGTAGCTAGTTCTAACGTGTAGCGGCTTATGGCACAAAGACTCTATATAGATCAAGTTGTTTTAATGGCGTAAATGGAAATGCCAGTTAGCTTAAAAAACCGATGGAAAAATCTTTGCATGATTAACCGCAATTGCCCACGCTTTTCGTTCGTAAAGTCCGCAGTGGCGTGGCTATCCGTGCGTTCGCGAGCACGCTAAAGCTGTTCCTACCCTAGTAATAGATTGTGCTAACGTGATATTTATTTTCCCTACGCGTATATTATGGCTTCCTACACGAGTACGATTGCCGTAAAGAGGCATTCGCCAGGGCAGGAACCTATTGTTGTGTTAAAATACATTTAGGGACCTATGCCGGACAATGACAAGTTATCATAGAACGCTTCCAGGCGACTCCTTAGCTTGGCAACAGATAGCGATTGAGTTGACGCAGTAAAATGAATACAGAATAGAACCTTTTTAAATACGCAGTCAACCGTTATCGAAAGCACGTTAAACAAAAGGTGCACAGACGGGATCATTGGGACGTATTTACTTAGATTTGATGGATGACGATGTTACAATATCCAGACAGTCTCTTACTAGATATACAGTAAAGCAAATTGTAATTTCATCACAAATGAAACGTTTTTTGCTGGTCGTATTTGTTTGTGGAACGTGATTCGCCACAGCGGGTTACGCCATTGACGAAAAGACAGTGTTTCATACCAATGATCCTTGCAAAAATAAAGGGTTTTTTTTTTTATATAAGACCCTTTGTTTTACATGGGGCAGTAAGAAAGTATATCAGAACCATTTCGATTGTAAACCGGTTGAGCGATTTTTTTTGATATACAAAACCCTTAAACTCTGTAAAAAGTCTGATACGCATGATATAAGTTAAGACGCTAATAAACGTAGCAAAATAGTTTGATTTACGTCGTTTACATTTTTAATCTACCATTCTCACTATAAAATGTTTCAGTTTTGTTGCTCAATGAGAACAATTTCCACGTTCTTTATCGCCGCGGTGCCTTAGACTGTTAGGCTTCTCATCGAAGGGGCAAAAAATCGCTGACACAGGTCTCGCCTTTTACATACACAACGTGTATGGTTAAATAAGTGATAAATGAACGCGTGAATTTCAAAGGTTCGTACAAGATTATTGATGGGTTCTTCGTACCCTAAACTTCAGTTCTGCAGAGTCCAGCTTGTACACATTTGTACAGACGTCTTTACTGGCACCCCAATACTGTGCGATCCGCCTTCCATAAAGCCCTAAAAATGGCTTTATTAATTAATTGCTTCTAGAAGCCAGGGCTCGTCTACTGCGTACCGCAGTTATTTCTGATGTTGAAAAACCTAGCTAATAATAGAGAGTCATGCTTTTCCCGAGTCATGCTTGTGATTTTTCCGGCCCGGCAAATCCGGCCCGTTCGGGTTCATCAAAGGGGGCAGTTTTCAGTGGGTGGGCTCAAGTGAAAAGTGCGCCAAGGCGACAGACGCACCTTATCCGTAAAGTAGAAATTGATCTATTATTCCAAGGACAGTCTACGACAAAAGCAAGCTGGTCTAGTTACATGCGTTTGTTATGATACGAACTGCGGTAAGCATATGTAACAATGGAATAGGTTCGCGCTGATTAACGAAGCCAGGTAAATGATGGTGATGTGATTATAGTTTTACTCGATAAATGCGGTCGTTACTTGCTAATTTTAACGCCGTAAATCAAGAGAGACAAGAAAACTTAGAAGGCAACCCTTGTTCTTCACCATAGTTACAAGCGTGGAAAGCAGTCAGACCCATTAACAACGCGGACTAGATCCGACGCGTCACTACAGCTGACGCATTAAATAAGCCCAAGTGGATACAAAGGCGTAACGATTCAAGTATGTTTTCAAAGACGGCTTCAGACTAAAGGGACCCACGGGGAACAGTTAAAAGGGAAGACGGCAGACGAATTTTAAGGAAGACAAAAGCAAAGCTCAAGTCTATTCGTACCATCAAGATCGGAAATTGTTTAAATGGTTACGAAAAAGGGCGCTATACGTACACTAAACACGACAAAGATCAAAGGAGCGTAGGGATCTGAATACATGACACGTGTTCAGTTGATACTCCCTTTATTCCCCCGGCTAGTTTGTATGCTTTTCTTGGCTACCAATAGAGAGCCGTCTAAATTACGTTGTAGATTGTACGGATCATTATATAGTATCAATAAAGTTCCCATAGCAAGTAGTCTCGTTGATGATTCTTTTTACAGTTTCTCAGTAAACGCATATTATATACAGTTGTTTTGCGCTTATTTCTATAAGCCACGTTATACTTTTTAGAAGGACAGTGCGAGAATTCCGTTTCTGCATCTGCACTTCTTTATGTACTTGGTCCTGCATCTATTATTTTCACTCAAGGCAGGCTATTAATTAAACTAATAGATATAAAAAAAGGTCAAAACCTGCTAAACATATAACTAAGCAAACAGGCATATATATATGTAACTTAAGTATGCAATTGTGCAGTGTTGCATTTCCGGTCTAAAATGAGTTGCGTCCACCATTTGTCGCTTTGTCTGCCGACCCATTAAAAAATGTATGCGTCTATTATCAGTTTGATACTGAACAGAACTTCCACATTGTATAGGTCCTCGGTTGGAGGCTTCCTTTAAGCTCGGTAGTGAGTCTATATTAAAACGGGCATTAGGGAAAGGTTTTGTGTTGAGCAGCATTGAGTCTACATTTATGGCTTGACTTTAAACGTCGTCTGTACGGAGCTTCCCAGGCTGAATTCACTACCCTGCATGTCTATAGGAAGGTGTACTGTGTACTCTTGGTTTTGAAAACCTTATAGAGCATTAAAACCATACCGGCTCACCTATATGAGACACGATCGCATTGCCATACGTTCATGTCAGTTACTCACCGATCTGTAAATTGCGGGTCAAAATCCTACGCTGCGCAATACTATAAAGCATCGTAAGGCAGCGTGCTGTTGTCCCGCTGCATGCCAGCTAAATTAATGCTATTGAAAACAAAGGTTGTTAGATTTCGTGTTCTTCTTCATTTATTCTGTACATATAATTCAGTGCGTTGTACTTTTGTTTGCTACTAGAGCTGGATGCCCCCTTGTCTTACACGCTATTAGTACTTTGTAAGAATCACTTTAAGCGAAACGACTTTGCTCTGCACAATCGATAGTCTTTTACCTTTATTTAGATAGTATTGCCCTGATCGGTATAAGGAAAAATGAAAACTCCTATTAAGATGCTGCAGTATAGAATGACTTGGACTCCTGTCGCCATCTGCATGTTCTTGTTCACTCTTCATGTCGGCCGTTTTCCTAATGATCATTCAGATCGTATTCTTCAATTCACCTGTAATGCAGGTGGACTTCGGGGCGACGCTATGGTTGGTTCGATTATATCATAAGGCTACAAGCAGCATGTAGTTGCTGGATCTTCTGACCTTCCAATTTCAGGTTCCCTACGGTTGTACAGCAGGCCGCGCACATAATGAAGTGATGTGAAAATATCCCTCAATTCAATGTTACAGGGCGCAACTAAATAATTGATGAAGTAAGACTTGTAGGTACATTAATAGCTAGTTCATTAAACTTTCTCTCTGAGAGCTGTATCTGCTTATCTTTAATCGCTATATGTTTCAATTAGCTAGCGAGAAATTGAATGAACGACCACGAGTTGACTGCGTTTGCGTTTAATAGCTTTTGCTATAGATTAGCTCCTAGCAAAAGCAGTTTTAAATGTTGCCTCCCAAATTAAATGATAGGATTGTATAAAGTGTAGCTAAATAAAAACTCGAAAAAGCTGCTCAGTCCACCCTTGGCTGTTCCTTCGCATGTACCTACATTGATGGAATGGGTTGGATTTGTTAATCAAAGCTGACCGAGACCACAGTGCCGACATGCTGAACCGCTCTAGCCCAATTCAATTCTCAACCATACCCATCAGATGCCAATGAGACGAAATCGAAACGTTAAGCTATAGATATATTCCGCGAATGCAGACTACTTCATCCCCCTGTCCCTACCTTACAGTCCATGTATGTTAATGCAATTCATCATTTCTATCCTAGCACAATCCTGAAAAAGTTTATTCTTGTCAATTCATGAAAATTCAAACATGACTTTGTTCAATGAAAAACAGCTTTCTTAGTTTCCGATCTGTTTCCGTCTTGGTTTAAGCGGAGTGATTCAACATAGATGGTCATACGGCTTAGTAGAAAGGCACAGCATTATGTTTACCCCTAGTTTTCTTTTGTAACGTGCCTGCTTTCAAGGCCGCTGTGTAATTTAACTTATTCACAACGGCTCTACTTTGAAAAAGTTATTTGCTTAAATGACTGAATTTACGTTCTAGCATTTGTTACTTTGTTCTCTACGATCCGCATCTACTAAAGTGATTATTCCAACCGCCGGCTATAAGCAATATGTAGCGTCATTCCTTGTTCTTGCAGGGCCTTTTACTTGCAAAGATGTACATTCTCACTACGGCTTTGAATTAAGAGAATTGTGTCTGAGAGTC